ACAGTAGTTTCCTCATCTCTCCAGCACAATGCAAAGGCATAAAAATTGTTACCTAATAGACAAGTTCATGTTCTGGATAGATATACTTTCTTCTGACTTGGCTGAAAGGTCAAAAAATAATGATTAAGTAATATTTCATTAATAAAACCAGAGTTCATTTAACTATGATTCAGTAAGTGGCAAGAGAAGTATCAGGGAATATATAAATAAAACTCTGCTTCAGCCTTGAAACAGCTGCAAATTTAAAGAATGTTTATGCTATTTAAAAATAATATCTCTATTTTGAAAAATATTATGACAACAGTTCACTATCTTTTAATGAACAGATACAATGACGTGACTTTTAAGAATACCTACACAGTATGAATAATGAATGCTGAGTTGTCAAAGGGAATAGTTCATGGTTAGGCTTACAAATGCCATATTATTTGTTGACAACACTTAAAAAACAATTTCAGAGATCAAAATCAATACTGAGTTTATTAACTAAAATGAAGAATTATATTATAAAGAATATTGCTTAAAAATAGTTTGATTTTTCTAGTTCACAGATCTAACTGACCAACAAAATGATTTGGTGGGATTTAGTGTCAACAGCATCTGTTGTTACCACACAGAAAGCCTCTCCCTCTGCCTATGCAATACCACTGATAAAATTCTAAATAAATTAAATTAAATTGAACCATTAAAAATCACTAATTGTAAAAAAATTATGAAGTTGTTAAAGAACAAGTATGTGTGGGTATATTATAATACTTTTCAAACTAATGCATTTGCAGGCCAACTCTTTGATGACAGTTTCTTTCACTTTCCTTGTACAAAATGCAACGTTCTTATGTAAAAAGAAGACACACGTTTCATCAAAATCAACTATCTTAATGCTGACCTGTATGTAACGAAACATTCTTCTCAGTCATATCAAATTAATGATTCTGAAATGTTTCTGAAAAAATACTGTTCTGGTAATATTTTTCAAAAAGAATATTGAACATTTTCTTATTTTATGTTAACCTGTGCCTGTGCACTTCTACCAAAAATAGTCACAACTTGCACTATCGCATTTCATTTGTGACATTCACAAGCTGCACCCATCCCAAGCTCCTTGAGCAACAGAAACCTGTTCAGCATATCAGCTGTTACGTTTGAAATATCTTTCATTTACGTCCTATCCATCTCCTTCTGTAAATTCAAAGTAACTAATTCACACAGTAAACATCAATCTAGTGAAGGGTGAGCTGTTTTTTCCTAGGTATCATGTGCATACTCCTACTGTTTCTAACTGAACTCCTCCAACTCTACATGATTCCACATCTAATTTTGCTTCATCTCTCTGTTTCGTCTTGCTTTTTACACTCCAAGGTCTTCTAGTCAAGATACTCCATACTCCCTATGCATATCACACATGACCTTGATATAGTCAGCCTCCTGTCACTGTCACCCCCATCATACAAACTAGGATAACAGTAACAATGCATGGGACAAAATTATCATGACCGTATTTTGTTAAAACATATTTTTATTAGTCTTAATAGCGATTTTGGCCCTGATTTTCAAAAGTCACTACTAATTTTGGGAAAAAATTTTGGTGCCTACCTAGTAGAAAGTACTAAAGTGGTCTGACACTCATCATGTAAAAACTGTTGCACTAGCTGGGGCAACTAAACTAGTAAAACAGGACTGAAGAAATTTCTGTGGTCCAATCCCAGGCACAAGGGAAGATTCACTAAAAATTATTAATAACTTTGTAAAATCCTTAAATTTTTCTCTACGTTTGGATTTCCTCTGACTTGTTCTGATAAGTGATGGTTACAGAACCTCATGAGCAGATTTGCACTGCTTCTCCTAACAACTCACCAAAATCCAACAAGGAGTTTCTAAAACATTTAATGTCAGGAAGTTACATAAAATTTTCCTAGATCTTCTTTCTTTGAAACCTGACATTTTCTACCTGTTTTGGCTCTGTCTTCATCCTAGATGGGTTAGAGACATTCCCTTGTGGAGAAGAAAGTCCCAGTGTTACTGTGAGATGGAAAAGTGCTAAAGCATGTGCTGTCAATCCCTGTTACAAAATCTCTGACTAGCGTAAGACCAGCTGCATGTTTCAGAAGGAAAATGTGAAAGAGATCCTGGAGATCTGACCGATCTTCAGAGTGACAGAAGGTAAAAAGATTGATGATCAATTATTTGCTATGTATCTGGTGAAAGGTTCTGGCCTTTAGAAGAGCAACTCATGTCCACGGTGAGAAGGAGCCCTATTTAGGGAATAAGGTTCATCTCACCATCATATGGCTACTCTCTTTGGATAAGGACAACCTAAGGCAGGCAAAAATATTCTCAGGTAAAGGGATAGATGTTGCAGAAACATGCAATACAAACTTAACCCTACATATGGACACCTGAGTGGAGAGAAGAGTCAGAGGCCAAGGAAACAGGTAAGAGAGCTCATAAAGTCTTGTTTAGGAGGAGATGTTTTGTATAGCTGCTATCAGTTTAAACTGTTGAGGAGATCTCCACTATTAAAACATTAAAATCAGAACTTATAATTTTTCTGGAAAAGAGAGCCAGAGACAAAGAAACTGAAGATGGTACTCCACACTATTGGTGCCATTATCTCTCAGAATTACTAATAAGCCAGGGCAACCAGATCTTGAATTCATATACTGTTGGCAATATGTGATAAAGGAAACCACCAAACCATGTCAGAGAACTGGATGACCTGCTCATTAAGCATGTATTTGTAAAACATGAAAAGAACTACGAAGGACATCCATCTGAGACATGTAAGATAGGAATGCCATGCAGTCAGTAGTAACACATTAGGTGCTCCCAAATTCTATCCCTAGAATACTTTTTTAAATACCAAAAGGATAATCACACTCTGAGCCTGCACATTCAATATGTAAAGTTTAGTTAATCACAAGCATGGAAGTTCATTGGCCCAGTAAACTAGAAGAAAATTCTGCATTTGGAAGAAAGTACAGAGATGAAAATGTGGAAGGACTTTCCCTACCCCACTGCCACCAGGGACCACAGGCAACTATTAAGTAGTCCAAAAAAGGCAATCTGTGGCAAAAAAATCTAATTCTGGGTTAAGGGTGTAATTACACTGAAATATGTATTATACATTAAAACAAACAAACAAACAAGCAAACAAAAAAAAAAACACAAAACAAAACTCAGCTAGAAATGAATTCAAATAGCAAATTTTGGGCTAAAGAAATCAGACAAGAAAGCAGAGGGCCTCCAACTTCTGATTCATGTTTTAGAAGAATACACATGCTACGCAAAAAAACCCCAAACAACCAACATATATTTTCTTCTCTGTGAGTAGAAAAAAAGCATTTTTACAGATAAGGAGGTTATTAGTAACAGAAATGAATGTTACAAGACAACTTTAAATGAGCACACCCAGATAATTTGTGCCTTAGAGTCCTAAAAGTGTTTGCGAGAGTATCATTTCAATGATGCTAATTTTCAGTAAATTTTGAAACACCAGAGAAATTCAGTAAGGCTGCTGGCATTTTCTGCCAATATTTGAAGATGGTAATCGGTATGATCTCAGTAATTATAGAACTCTAAGTCATTATTAATTTCAGGCAAAATAACCAGCAAATTGATAAAGGATAAATTCACTGGGAAATGACATGAATAAAACTGATGCCAGTCAACACCATTTTACAGAACCTTGGTCAGTAAAACAGAAAGTTTGATTTAATCATCTGATAAAGTTATGAACTGTGGTCAATAGAAGTTACTCCATAAATGAAACATGCAGACTTTTGAACAATGTTTTCTTACAGCCACACAACATACAGAGTAAGGAATTATTATCAATATCACCAAATGTGATTAAGATGTAGATATAAAATAGTAGCTGTTAACAGGAAATAACAATTGAAGAAGAGCGCTCTACATTACTTTAATAAAATAATCCAGTACTAGCTCAACATCATCTAAGAGCATCACCAACGATAAAAAAGTAAATACTGTCAATAGCAGTTATGGCACAAAAAGTGCCACATTGGTTAATAAAGGTACCAGAGTGGTTATTCACAGTAGTATGGATTACTTTGTAAAATGGGGATGATGTATCACAGCCAAGTGGACTTATGTAGCAAGAGAGGAAGGAAGAATGCAGGCAATACCCAGAAAATGACAGCTCAATACAAATGTCAGTGAAACCTTATGACAAAAAGGAGTAATAAAACCCACACACATCTAAGTGTATAAGACCAGTGATACTACCTTCATTCACAGCATTCACTGGAATAGTGAATACAGATGTGTAGCCCCCACACTGTCTTCCCAACATGGCAAAGATGTTGTTTTTTCTTGATGCTTTCTCCATAATTCACCAAAAAAGGGGAAGAGCTCTGTACCTCCTTAAGACGTTAACCAGAATGCTCCACATGCTGTTATTAGCACAGTGAGGGATTTAGGAAGTCGTGTGAAAAGAGCACAGCAGGAATTTGAAAAGTCTGCAGAGTGTCAATGAATGTTACATGAACACAGAAACAGCCTCTGGTCCGTTGTAGGAGGGTAAGAGAGCTCAGGCCTAACATCAGTCACTGGGTAGTACCAACAGTGCTGAAGGTACAGTGGTAAGACAGATCTTACCACTGATGTGTTTTGGGGTTCTTTCCTACCATGACAATTACTTAACATCAAAGCCACTTAAAGAATTGTACAGCACTTCTCTGCTTTGCTACATTGTGCCTCGTCAATCTGTATCTTAAAAAAGAACCCTGAATAAATGTATATGAAAAAATGAATAAACTAAACTAATAAATAAACTCGGAATAAACAACCCTTTTTGTCAAACATCTCTACTTGAGAGAGTTGGACTGCTTAAATGACAACACTGGTAGAAGTACATCATCACGTATACGCATAGGAACTAACTGCACGCCAGGCTTCACTAGGAAAAAACATGGAAGGCAGCTGGATGGGAAACAGTGTACCTGAGGTAAGCTCTTGTTTGGTGACTGCTTTTGGCTTACCTGGTCGTGAGACCCTTGAGCTGCTGAATGCTGCTCCTCGCAGGCTGCTGTCAAGAGTCTGGGGGTTTGAGTTACCATGGAGATCACCGCATCTGACAGCTGAGAGGGCTGCAATGAGAGACAGAGGTACCCGTCAAGCCAGTTTCCATCACCTCATCAAAACACGAGCACTTGACCAAGGTACCAGCTCCCAAGTTAGGAGCTCTGGCAGAATCGTAAGGGGAAAGAACCCAATAACCATCACAGAAAGAATGAGAGAGGCGAGGGCAAGCTCCAGCCACTCACAGCATTCAAGTGCTTTGCAAAGCCGTGCACTTTTTCAGGAACTTGGAAGAATCCTAATATACCCTGAGCTTGGCTCAACAATTTTCAGCCTCTTTGGTCAAGTATAACATCAGCAAGCAATTCATCCAGAACCGCTGCTGAGCACAGGACTGAAATGCCAGCACGGTGCCTCAGAACAGTGGGGGGGACACAGAAGTGCTCCCTGAGAAAGCCTCCAGTGGCAACCGATTGAGCATCACTTCTGTGCAAAAAGAAGTAAGTAGGCCAAAGAAATTACCTTCCTGTATGTTTTTGTGGGAAAGTCTAAAGGAAAGCATTTATGAAAATCAAACATGAATGATAGTGTGGCATTCTTCTGCAATAATAAAACTATTTTCCATGCCTGCCACTGAGCATGATGACTAAAGCCTTATTTCAGATTTCCTCTGCCATTCGACCGCCATGTATCTTGACTAGTTTCCTACTCCTGCATTTCAAGCCTTAAGTCTTATGCTCAGTTTTTTCTATATAATCTAATAATTAAATGCTGTAAAGTGAAATGAGATATTCATTGGAGACTTTTAAAATTAATTATACTCTTCCACACAAATGTCTAATAGCTTTTAAAACTATACATTAAGGATCATTTTATGATATAATCAATTTAATAAATAACATATTTAAACACATCATCAGGAGAAGCTTTCATAAATCCAGTTCTAATTCTCAGTCTGCAGTACTATAACATGCTCTCATTTACATCACTGTGAGACAAGTACACCATCTAACCAAATACAACTACTCACCTGAAAAAGCTATACCTATTATAATCAGAGGTGAATTATACAAGGGACAATAAATGACTATTTAAGCATCACAAAGTATTAACACCACATCAGCTAGAAGTCTGTAGTTTTTCCGAGTTTGTCTATTGAATGTGTTTGAACCTCTATCTACCTGGCTACCTACATAATTACCTGTCTAATTCTCAGATGGCATTCTGAGATGCCTGTTGTTATCTCTTAATCTTATTTTCAAATTGTCTCCCATCTCATTTTTCTGTGGAGCATGTTATGTTTATGCAAAATATAATATATTCAAGAAGCATAACTCTCTGTAAATGTAAAATCTGAAAATCCAAGCAACAATTAGAGGATTTTTCTGTTACGACTTCTCCATGTCTTATGGGAAAATTGTTAAGAGTATTATTATATTAAAATTGTCTCTATTCAGTACTCTTGACATTATGCTGTGCAACAGTAGCTAACACATACTGAGGCTGCTCTGATGACAAATACCAGGAAAATAACTGGCTCATCTGTGCTGAAGGCTTCTGCAAGATTCATGGACTTAAAAGGACACTAGAATACCAGATACTCGTATTGTAGCACTGTAGATGGAAGTATTGCTATTGAAGAAAGTGTATTGATTCTTTCTGTCATAATTATACTCATAAATTGGTTGGGCCACGTTTTCATTTGTTCTGTTTACAAATCTTATGTACTGGATCACTGATAGCTTTTATCAGTGATGGGATCACTTAAAGGCCATTCATCTTCCCACGTTGCTACAGAGCAGGCAGAAGGCATCTGGTAACACAGGCTGGTAGGGCTAATCGAAACCTACAGTAAGACTGGCTTTGGTTACCTTGCCAGGCAACTTTTTGGTAAAAACATTCATATTGTCTCTCTACCGAAAAAGTGATTTGTGTGAAGACTAGAGACAAGTAAACAATTTATTTTCAATAATGAGCAAGGGGAAAGAGACATTTAGAGATTAGAAGACATGATTTCTTTATTTGTATCTTATTCCCTGTGTCAATGACACTTAAAAGTTACCTAGATTTCCCTTACGACTGGGTGAGAGTATACATGTGGATGGTCGTAATAATTTGTCATGCTAGCAGATGCCCCTACCCATAAGGCTTTACTCAACAATAAAAGAGTTTCTTAATATCTAGATTCATACAGAAATAAGTGCTAATATAAGCTCTGAAATAAACAGTATACAAAGACAGAAAATGTTTTTTCAACTTTCATTTTTATGCTTTTATTGGTAATATTAACATTACAGCCTATCACTACTTACAATAGGATTATGGTCTCCACAATGTAAAAATAAATTGAAAAAAAAAGCCCACCAGAGATCAGAGAATACAGCTGCAAAAGTGATTAGAACACTGTAGAAAATACTTTAATGTTAAATATTTGGAGAGTTCAACTTGTATAGTTTGAAAAAAAAAAAAAAAAAAAAAAAAAAAAGACAGATGACCTGATTACAGCACCTACCTATTTTCATGGGGAGAAAATACTAAGTAACAACTGGCTTGTTAATGTAGCAAAGAAGGGTATACATAAAACAAATCAGCATCTGCAAGCTGACGCCAAATTCAAATGAAAACTAAAGCACATGCTTTTCATCACCTGTGACTAACCATTAGCCCAGCTATCAAAAGAAGAATACAGAGATTCTCAATTTTTTTATATCAGGCTCTAACGGGACTTTTCTAGGAGATGAATTTTTGTGAAAATACAAGTTATCCTGTAGTCATATACAAGTTCCTGGGTTTCATACAAATAGGTGAAGTTTGCAAAATGGAGAAAGGGAGATCAGGTGACGTAGTCATCCCTTCCTGGTCATAAATGAAGTATATTATGATCCAAAACGATGGTGAAGCACTGGATGGTGATGAACACTGTGCATGCTAAGCTGCTGGTGCTAGCACATACCTAGTGACGCATATGCACATATACACACACATATAGTGACAATGGGTGTGTGTTCAGGCCATATGTGGAGCCAGAGAATTACAATCATCCTTTCTGAGACAGGTGGACTAAATTCTGCTGCAAATAATATTCTGGCTTCTAATTTAGGAAGCCTGTTCTTTCCTCCATGAGCTGAAAGGACTCAGTCGCAGGAGAGCGGTAGCGGGACCTCTCTTGACAAGAGTCATTCTCGACACCAGTAAGACGACTGAGGGCAGGCAACAGGAATGCTGCTCTCTGAATCCGTGCCTCCACTCCACCAGCACAGAGTAACAGCACTTCGTGTCATCAACTACTTGCCAGTCTCGTCCCTGTGGGCAGTAAGCGTTCTGGGCAGAAAAAGCTTTCTCCTGGGGTATTTCAGTGGGGCAGACAAGCAGTTCCCCACCTCAGCTGAAATCGAGGTGCTGCGCGCTTCCAGCCCTCTCCCTGCAACAGGCACGCAAGTAACACGGGCTTCTCACAAAAGGAGGAATGGGAGAAGAAAAGTAAATAATAATAAGAAATGGCCTAAACATTATACTGAACTGCTCTCACAGTTATCAACCTTAAAAATGTTGTCCCTTAAGCAAAGATAAGAAAAGATACTGGAAGTATCAATTTAGTTAGCACTAGTGCTGTTGCTACGCTTTGGGCTGCTAAGCTGCCAGGAAATTTAACCATGTTTAAATATCAACTAAAAACACTAGATAAAACATTTCATTCCTTTTCACTAATTGTAAATCTGGTACACAGTTTGACTTTGGATGTTGTGCTACTTTTGAAAACACATAAGTCAAACAACGTCAATACATCCATTGATCTCCTTATCGCAGACACAACCTCCGTGAAGCAAAACTGTGGAAAACCCCAACACCGACCCACACGCAGGCGGCTAATACAAAACCCCTGCTTATATCAGAAGTGCAAATTTAACCAAAGAATACTAATGTTGCCTTTCACCCCTGTCCCCACAGGGCCCGTTAGAGCAGCTGCCTGCCGGGACATGGCAGAGTACAAGCTCGGTGTCAGCGCCGTTTACACTGAGAAGTCAATAAAGTGACATTTGCTTAAAGGAGGCCTGAATGTGGTGTGGCCCTTAGTAGGCCATAGATGAAATACTGCATTTATCCACTGCTTCATATGTAGATTTCCTTTTGCAGGCACCTGCGTGACTTTAGGAAACTGAAATTGGGGGTCAGATTTCTAGGAGGTACTTGAAATTACCAGCTGTGCAGGTGGCTAGGCATATGAGCACCTATAGTATATTTAAACTCGGAGTAATTAGTCACATCACAGGAAGATGTTTTTATAAATCCTACTAAATTCCTCTAAATAGATTTAGATATTTAAACATTTTTCCAATCAGATTTATGTTTAAATACTACTTCTGGACAGTTTCAACTAAATCGCTTTATTTCTTTTTACAAACAACATAGATGAGGAGAAACCAAACCAGTGACATTACTATTCTGTTTCATCACATTTCTCTTAATGCTGTTCCATAATAAAAAGACATTAATTGGGTGACTAATTTATTATCCCTCTTCTTTCTGGCTTTTAAAGGCACAGGAGAGTTTAAGTGATAAATAGGCCAACTTCAACAGACACTGAACTACAAAAGCATTTTTGAGAGATTTCACTATATCTCTGTGAAAGAAATGTAGGATACCTAGTGCACAACATGAATATTTTCCTTTCTTTCAAATTGATAAACAGCTTTAATATTTTCAAACAACCCCTCAGGGATTATACTCATAGTAAACCTGGACTATATGGAAGATTCCAATAGGACATCAATAATTATGTCACCCTTCTGCAAAAAATAACCTAAAATGTATTTTCTAAAGCAATTCCTTAAAAAGAGTACAAATCAGTGAAGAGAACATTCCAACATTTGCAAAACTTTTGCTGATGTACTGAGTTTTTCATTTCTTTATGGATTAGCAATGTACATAAATATAATCACAGCAGTATAACCACAGTTGTGGCTACCCCTGGGGCATGTCCAGCAATTAGTCCATACAAGGATCACGGGTAACACTGCAGTCACGTGGAGCCAAAACCAGGACCACCATTTTCAACTCAACACAATGT